GGGTGGGATTGTGGGAGAATGCGGTGCATCGATCTCTCAAACTCTGTGCATTCCCCCTGACGGGTCAGGGGGCGACCACCTTTGCGTGCTCTGCTCCACAACTTACGTATGTATGTGTGTGTACGTGTATATATTGGCGCACGCGCCACCATTGTGTCACAGGCGTGGATCTTTTTCCATCCCCGTGAGCACCAAAAACACCTTATCTCCAAATTATTTCTCACGACGCGAGAAAAATTCGAAAAACGAAGATATTAGAGAAAATTTCAAGACAGAATATTATTAACAACGTTAGAAAAAGAAAAAGAAAAAATCGAAAACGAGCTATCACCATAATCGTCGAAACTTTCGCTCGAGGAACTTTCCTACTCCGCCCCTCCCCTTCTCCGTATACATCTCTTCCACTCGAGTATGAATCCCAAACCCGCCCCCCCCAGAGGATCGAGTCCTGTCTCGATCTCATCGAAAAATCCACCCTCCTCGATCAACCCTCCTCGAAGAATTCGCACGCGAGCGTGGAACCGTCGAAAAGGCCTCGGCGGAGTGTCCCGCGTCACGTTCACCGGTTGTGTTCGCTTTTATTTTCCGCGAAAGGAGCGTGTTCGCGCGGCTCGCCGCGGCTCGGCCGCGGCTGCGGCGGTGTGCGTGCGTGTGCATCTCGCGCGAGCGATGTGTTGGAGCGGAGAGCAGGCCGCGGGAGCGCATACAGATGTAGGTAAGGAGAGTGTGGGATATACACACGACGTGGTCGCGGGGCCAACGACCGGAGCGCGCGACCGTGCCTCGGTTTGGTGGGGGATGGAACGTTCCTGGGATGGTGGGGGAAGGTGAGTGTATCTGCTCCCACGGGCGAAACGGCGGACCACGAAGGGGACACAACGAAGACGGGAAACGAAGAACAGGGAAACGGATAGTGGAGAGAAGGAGAGACGAAAGAAGGAGGGGAGGGAGGAAAAAATGGCGAGGAGCGAGAGAGAGAGAGAAGTGTCGTGAGAGTACAACGAGTGATGGCGTGGTGGGGAGAGAGAGAGGGAGAGAGAGAAAGAGAGAGAAAGAGAGAGGACAGGACACGAAACGGAGTAACGGTGACGTACATAATGCGCGCGCCCGTGCGGGCGCATGCGCTCTCGCTCGAAACACCGCGACACTCTCTGCTACGCTCGGGGGCATTAACCGCGAGCGCGCGCTCGCATCGACGCGCACCTACGACCCCAAGAATTCGCAGCTCGTTCGCGTTCCCCGGACACCGGTCCTCGAGGTCAGAGACGACGACGATGACGATGGTGATGATGATGATGATGATGATGGCGAGGAGGAAGGAGCGATATGGTGGATCGGTGATGAAAAATTAGAAGAGGTTAGGTTGTTCGAAGGGAAGGAAATCGTTAATGAATTACTTTGCTTTCGATTATATCGCGAGAGTCTTCGTTGTAGGTTTTGGAATAAATAGGGGTGGATAGGATTAGAAAGTGATATTTTTGGGGGAAAGAAGAATTATAAGAAGAATTTTGAATTATAATGTGAATGGGGTGAAGAGTTATTAGGGAATGTAGGGGAATTGCTGAGAGGGCGAAAAGAAATGGTGTCGATCAGCTTTTATACTCTCGTTTGACCTCGAACAGTTCGCTGCTCTATTCCCCGGGCATCGATACCCGGAGGAAGTCGATCGCCGAGGTCGAACAATTTTTCCGTTTCCACGGCGCTTGGGATCTCTTCACGGTTCGTCGAATCCATCGACACATTGAATAAACGACGTGTCGATTTAAAAAAATTAACGACCCGCTCGATTCATTCGATTTCGACAATCTCAATTTACAAATGCATCTATTTACAAATTCACCGATTCTTCGACATCTTTGCCCCTCCGTTAACGAAGGAAAATATTTAAAAATGTCTGAAAAAAAGTCAATTCGTCGGATCATCAAAACGAGAAGGAAAAAGGTAATCAACCTAAAAAAACCCTCTCCACGATCTACATCGACGAAAAAAGAAAAAAAATGGAAAGAAGAAAGAGAGTAAATAAATCCTCGATACTCTTCTCCCTCGATCACCTCGATATCCTCGGCCATATCGGGCTACGAAAAAAAGAAAGAAAAAAAAAAAAAAAAAAAAAAAAAAAAAAATCTCGACGTATAATTTTGCCCGCTTGCTCGGGGAAAGCTCGGTTAGTAGCGTGGGGAGGGGTGTCGTGTTTCACGGGGGTGGCTTTATCGGGCTGCAGGAGGGAGGAGAATCGTGACGTTCGATTCCGCGCGCGCGGCGCGGCGGGGCGTTATCTCGAGGCGCGTTGCCGCTCCGGAGATACCGAGCCGAGCGAGAACACCTACCACGATAATAAGCGGCTGACCCGATTCTAAAGTAGATGCACCGGGGTCAGTAACCCCAACACCGAGCACCGAAATACCCGCGCAATCAAATGAAAATGAGATCACGACTCGTTACGACATCAAAAATGACGGTTAATCGGGTAGGTGGTGAGGGGTGGCGAGGGGGGATGGAGGTGGCCGTGGGTGGGGAGCGGTGGAGCGTGGAGAGGGGGAAAGAGCGACGTGGAGGGGTGGAGAGGAGGAGAGTGGTGGGGAGGGGTACGCTGGCGCACGGAGGGGTGGAGGGGGAGAACGTGTGACGTAACTGGCTCGGGGGTCGACGACCGGAGGGGTAATGCACCGGTCGCCTGGTTTCAACCCTCCGGAAAAAGAGTCGACGCGCACCTCCACCGTTGATTGCGCGGCGGCGGGGAGATTTAAAGAGGAACATCGACGCGAAAATAAAAACCGAGATATATATATATATACCTCCCCTCCTTCAAAGTTTACTCCAAGTTTTTTTCAAAGAGACTGTTCACCCTGTTCGATATCCACGCGCACGTGGTTATTTGGAGAGGAAAAATTCGAGTGGATATTATATATATATTCGTGGGATAAAAAGGGGGAATCTCTGGACGGATGACGAATTTGAAAACGAATTTATGGAGTTGAAGAAGTTGTTCGAGAAAGGGTTGTTGAAGGGTTGTTAAGTGTAAGGGGGAGATAGGAATCGGAGGGAATAAATATAGGATTATATCGAGGGGAGATCAGATTCGGATGAACGTTGATACACGTGAATCGAGTAGATTACCCCCTATCGGCCGAGTGACGTGTTTTTTTATCGCGGTTTTATCGTGGCCCGCCGCCGATTGCGGCGCCGCGAATCTCTCTCGTGCCGTAAAACTGTGAGCCCAGGTCAGTGACGCGTGCACGAAAAGTGTCGTGGGGGGCAACGTCCTGGCCGAGATATCTGGGCCAGTGCGAGGCACACAACGACCGCCATCTTCAGCGTCACTTTTTCCATTCCGAAAACATGGGACTCGCGTGACCTAACCTAATCGATCGATCCATCGTCCCCTATTATATCCAAATTATTCCGTTTCGCGCCGCGAAACAATTGCACATCCTTCTATGATTAATTAATTTCGAGATCCTCGTCCCCCGATTGACGATTAATTCATTAACTTTTCGCGAAACAGATTTCGACTCGGCGCAGTCAAAATACCCGTAAACCTGGAACGAATCGACTGCGAGAAGCATAGAGAGGCCGAGGAAAAGTAGCTTGTGGCCGGTGGAATGGCGAAATAGTGTAACAGCAGCGCGACCGAGCGACCTAGTCTTAAAGATATCCAACACTCTTCCGCGTTCTCTTCCCTTTCCACCTCGGTTCCCTAGCTGCGTGTTCCAGTACCCATAAGACGGTCTCTACCGCTAGCGGCTAGGTCAC